CTGCTTTCCCGCCCTCAGCCTGCAAGGGTCAGACTGACATCAAAAACAACCACCTCTACTTTTTTCTTTTGTATTTTGATAAGCACTGAAGAAATTAGAGCTGTTAAAATTTATCTTGGGGAAAACCTCAGAACTGGTTTATCTGGTGTCGTGGAATCTCTTACTGCTTTCAATACACGATTAGTAATCAACTGTTTTGTATACTTGTTTTCAGTTTTCATTTCGACAAACAAGCACTGTAATTATAGCTATTAGAATAAAATCTCTTAACTATTAAAAAAAATAAAAATAAATAAAAGTAAACTACTACTGCTACCCACCCCTAGGCCCAAACCAGAAGACCAGCGTTTGATTGGTTCATTTGGATTTTAGAGAATGCATGTATCACATTTGGGAGTACTGTGAGCTCCCATCTATAAGACTACCCAAAAGAACGATATATTTGGGTGGGTACCCGAACAGAAGCAGGCTGAATTACAAAAGGCTGTGTAGCTCTCTCAACACCTTTAGACCCTTCTGATCGCCACTCATTTATGATGTTCGAAGTGTCTGCCACCCCTTCTCATGCAGACTAAAACTTATGGCAAACGCCCATGAGTGCCTCTCATTTGAGAGACAATTATTAGCCTGCCTGGGCATTAAGACTGCCTCAATGACTGAAGGACACAAAACAATCATGAAACCTGAGATACCCATAATGTCTTGGGTGATGTTGAAGAAACATTCTAATGAGAAAGGCAGTACCCAGAAGAGTTCCATAATAAAATGGAAATGGTTTATACAGGAGCATGCTGCCTAAGGAATACAAGGAGGCAGCCACCATGCCCATGAGTAGGTAGCCTCTTTTCCTCTAGAACTGTCTTTGGAGCCACCTGCAGAGCTGCTGGAACCAACTGCCACAATGGCAGTGCCTGATAAACAGCTCTCAACTAAACAACAAAGAGCTGCTTGGCAGTTCCAAGACGAACAGAATCACAAACTCACACTCCTCTTTTGAGAACTTTCTTCCCTCACCATAGGAATAAGCCCCAAGCAGCGATGTTTATATGTTTATGTTCATGTTCCTACCCTCTAGGCCCCACTATAACGGAATGGAACAAAGATCCAAGCTGGGCAACTTGATTTGAAATAGAGACTAGATAGAATGGTCCTATGAACTGAAACATGTAAACTCAGAAGTTATAAGAGGAGAAACTGGGCCCAAAAGCAGGAAAAGCAATTTTGCTGTTAAGATGGCAATATTCTCCAAACTGATCTATAGTTTCAACACAATCCCTATCAGAATAGACTTCTTTGCTGGCTTATCTGTAGAAACTGATAAGTTGACCCTAAAATTTATATGTAAACTCAAAGGACTCAGCATATAGCCAAAGAATTTTGAAAAAGAACAAAGTTGGAGGATTCACACTTTCCAATTTCAAACTTATTCAAGACAGTGTGGTACTGGCATAGGGACAGACATACAGATCAATGGAACAGAAATGAGAAGGGTGCCAAAACAATGGCCCCAGCACAAATGGTGCTGATACAACTGGATTATCTACATGCAAAAGAATAAAACTGAACCCCTACTTCACAGCATGTACAAAAATTAACCCAAAAGATCAAGATCCTTTTATAAGAGCTAAAACTAAAAATTATAAAACACTTAAAAGAAAACACAGGAGCCCTAGCCGGTTTGGCCCAGTGGATAGAGCATCGGCCTGTGGACCCAAGGGTCCTGGGTTTGATTCCAGTCAAGGGCACATGCCCAGATTGTGGACTTGGTCCCAGTGAGGGGCACGCAGGAGGCAGCCAATCAATGATTCTCTCCCATCGTTGATGTTTCTATCTCTCTCTCCTTTCCTCTCTGAAATCAATAAGAGTATATTTTTTAAAAAAGAGAAAAAGAAAACATGGGAGTAAATAAATCATGATCTTGAATTTGGCAGTGGCTTTTTAGTAACACCATCACGGGGGGGGGGGGGG